TGAATCCAAATGCAGAAGTTGATGAAAGATGTGAGCTGCTCAAGACATGACTGAAGTCACAAGCATGGTATGTCCGGTTTTGATCCGAAAAGCTGAAGAAGAATGAACTAGCACCTACAACTAGCAAGCGTCAAGGTTCAAATCCAAAGTCTGCATGAAGAACCATTCAGGACTCAAGATCAAGCTTCAGAAGACTTATAGATAGGAATCTTGTAACTCATAGTTGACAGGCTTAGTTAGTCTTTTTCATTTTTGATTTTGATGTAATAACAGGACCGTGGACCGGAACCTCGACGGAACGATACCTCAATCGGCTCTCCACCTCGGTACTCCATCACTCTTCCTAATTCTGAACTACACGTTGCCTGATTCCTTTATAGCTAAGGATATGTAGGCAGCTCAGATACTAGGGCTCGGTCACATTCTCCTTTCTCTTAGTTTTGGTCTTCCTAAATAAGGGTTGGGTTAAAAAACCTGTCTAGTCGTTTTTTGTCTAAATACTCTTCGTGTTTCCAGTCAAAGAGGGGCAGCTGTAGACATGTGATTTTTGACCCTCCCTGAGATTTTTTATATTTTAGCATGTAAATATTTAGTTTAGGCCTAATATCGCTATTTCAACTAATTTTGACTCTTTTACTTTATTTTATTACAAAAAATAAAAATTACAAAAAAAAAAATTGGTTCGTTAATGTTTTGTAGTCATACAATTTTACTAAAATTCTTATTTTTAGTATAATCTTTGAAAAAATACAAAAGATAAATTTTATCCCCATTTTGGTACATAAGCTAAGATTAACTAGAAAGTTTATAGATTTTTACTTCTTAAAAAATAGAAAGAATTAAGCTTAGGCTTATTGATTTGTCTCTCTTGAATTTAAGTACTCATCTAGCCCAATTTTAAGCCCAAATTCGGATAGCCCATTTCCCTTAACCCTAAGCCCCTTCCCATAAATACATGACAAAGCTAAAGAAAAGGGAGGAAGAAAAATAAATAAAAAACCTAGACCCCTAAGACTTTAGCTATCAGCCATTATTCTAAAGCTGGCACCCCAAAAGAAAATCAAGGAAGCTTCTTTCTTCTTCATCTTGGACAAGACCAAAAATCAAAAACACCCTGAAGAGGACCTACTTCCGAAAAAAGGCTTGAGAGCACTCAAAAATTGGAGACTCTCGTCTCTCTATTATACACGCCGGCGGATTCCCCTTCCCCACCTTCAGACTTCAATTTTCTTTGTGTTTTCAATTGGAAAACAAACACAACACGCACGCACACATTGGAAAAGGAGGACAGATTTGGGGGGAAGAGAATAAGATTTAAGAAAATTTGGGTTCAAAAATGGTGTCAGGTTGAAATGGGTGTCCGATTTGGAGTGTCTGTTTGAGATCGATTCTGGGTTCCGGTTTCATCTTGCTGCTGTATTTTTATCGGGCTTTCTTCTTGGCAAAGCAATGTGGAAATTTTCTTTACATATCAAATAAGAAGCACTTAACAGGTTCATTTTGTTATTCCTTTATATTAATGTAGTTTATTATATTTGTTAATTTATTAGGTGGTGATTGTGGCTGCTTGTTTCTCCTTTAGCTTCTACTGGTGAAACTTTCTTATTGGTTGAGTGAATAGGCAATTATATTTTCATCCTTTGGAGTTGAATGATTTCGAAAATTACGTCCATGATAGTTTGCCGTAGGAGTTCCAATTTTATCATTTGAATCCACTTCTTTGCTCGACTAAATTTCTCTATTACTCGTTTGTGATATTACTAGATCTAGTTTGTGGTATAGACTTGGTGTGTTGCTAAAATAAAAAAAATCTGCTATTTGAAGGGGTCATAACGGTGACATTGAACATGTAAACGAATTAGATTTTAAACGTTTTGCTACTTCTATTCTTGTTTTAAACGAGAGAGAGGGCTTAAATCTGCTCTTTTGTTTTGTTTTTTTCTTGTTTTTTGCTAATATCATAATCTACTAATTCACTTCAATTTTGTTTCTTTTTGTTGAGTTTAACTGAATCTTTAGTTCTATTGACTGGGAAATATTTCAGTTTAGCTCAATTGCTGTTTAAACATAGTAGAAAATAGTTGATCGTTTTTTGGGTCAATTAGTTCGTAAGTGTGTCTAATGGACTTGAAATTCTTTTGGATCTTTTTTAGAAGTTTAATTTCCTTCATTGATCATTTTTCTTAGGCAAACTTTTAGGTACGTAATTAAATCATCACAATTATGCGTACGGTTTCCGTGGCTTAGTTGTGATACCTAATCTCAAACTGGTTTTAAATATGAACATCCGTAGTTAAATGTTTTTCCTTTAATAAAATTGAGGTGTGACATCCAATCACCTAGTCTATGGCCCTCATGTATATACAAGATTAGAATGGGAAATGCCTTGAACTTTCGTAGCTTGCTTTAGGCGCGTTAATTAAATAATTGTGATAGCTACGGGTACGAATCCCGTGATGTAGTTATGACGCTTAACTACTAAAATTCGGGGGTACATTTATGTGACCCGGCCACAATTTAATCTTGTTAATAAAATAAACTTGTTGTGAATCGTGGGTACGGTTCCCGTTACATGATTCGGAACGTGTAATCAAATAATTAGTTGTATAACAATTGGATTATTAAAAGCGATTTTAAAAGGAATAAATGCACATAGGTTTTAAAATGTTTTAAAATTAAATAAGTAGGCCAATATTAACAGTTGAGCGACCGTGCTAAAATCGCGGAACCCGGGAATGCCTAACACCTTCTCCCAGGTTAACAGAATTTCTTATCTGGTTTTTGTGTTTTGCGGACTGTAAAACAGAGTCAATCTTTCCTCGATTCGGGATTTAAAACCGTGACTTGGGACATCATAAATTATCCCAAGTGGCGACTCTGAATTTTAAATAAAATAATCTTGTTTCGATTGTCACTTAAATTAGAAAAAAACTCCCTTATATACTCCCTCTCGGGGTGGTAAAAAGGAGGTGTGATCTAATCTTGCAGGCCGAGTTGCTCCACGCTCCTCGATCGGATGATATTTTTCGAGCTACCTGGATCCGCTAAAACACGCTTAACTTGAACTTTATTTAATAAGATAGAAATTACCAAAGCATCGTTGTGAGGTTGAGAAATTTCTTCTACCTCCTCGTCATTGAATCACATGGTGCCTTCTGGCACATAGTTTCGGGTTCGTTTCTCCCTAGTAATTGATACCTTAGTGCGATTGAACACGGGCCCTTGTGGAATATCGACCCCTCCAATGATCATTTGAATTACTTGTTGTGGCTCCTCATGTTCATCTTTCCTGTTGGTGTCCCTTTCCCTGAAATGATTCTTGGTTCGATCACTTAGGAATTCTCGAAGGTGGCTCTCTTGAATAAACGGGTTACCTCCTCTCTCAATTTCCTGCAATCCTCAGTCATGTGACCATGCGTGCCATGATACTTACATATCAGATCGGGGTTCCTTCGGGAAGGGTCGGTCTATATGGGTCTGGGCCATCTGGTATCTTTGATTCTTCCAATTGCCGATACAATGCCTAACACATCGACACTAAAATTATACTCTGATAATCGAGGTGCCTCTACGGAGTCGGCATACTTATCAAAACCATTTTTGCTCGTGAGTCCCCGAGAATTCTGTCCTCGATCGTTTCTCCGATCGTTCCAGGCAAAATTGTATCCTGGACCACTATTCCTGCGATCTGAGTTGTATGGTTGATATCAGTCTATGTTCGATCTTGGCTACCTGTCGATGTCCCTCTGATTTTTGGCGGCTGACCTGTTTGGGTGCACTAAACCGGAAGGAGCTCTTAATTGGTCATCCTTGACCCTGATCTTCGATTGGTACCGATTGTGTACATCTGCCCAAGTTACGGCCGGATACTCGATCAAATTTTACTTCAACTGACTTGATGTTATCGAACTTCGTTCATTCAATCCCTGAGTGAAAGCTTGAACGGCCCAATCATCTGTGACTAGCGGCAACTCCATGCGTTCCATTTGAAATCGGGATACAAACTCCCTCAACATTTCATTATCCCTCTATCTTACTTTAAAAAGGTCTGATTTCCTTGTCGCAACCTTTATGGCTCAGGCATGTGCCTTTACGAAAGAGTCCGCCAACATGGAAAATGAGTCAATGAAATTCAGTGGTAGATTGTGGTACCAAATCATGGCTCTCTTCGATATGGTTTCCCCGAACTTTTTCAATAAAATAGATTCAATCTCATTATCTACCAAATTGTTACCCTTGATGGCGCATGTGTAGGAGGTGACATGCTCGTTGGGATTGGTGGTCCCATTGTATTTAGGTATATCCGGCATACAAAACTTCTTTGGAATGGATTTCGGACCCGCAGTCAGAGGGAACGGCTTTTGTACAAATTTCTTTGAATCCATCCCTTTCAAAATTGGTGGTGCCCTCGATATCTAATCAATTCGGGAGTTGTATGTTTCTATTTTTTTTATCATTAGCTTCGATTTTCTTCTCCCCAGACTCAATTGTTTTGGTGAGCTCCTCGAGCATTTTCATTATTGCAGGATCGATCCCCGAATTTCAATCTATCTTGCACTGGCCCGGTACGACGAGTGATTTCTAGCTCGACCCCACTAGGAAATCTATGTTGATTTTGTAACTGAGCAATAGCGGCATGCTAAGCCTGTAGCATCTCGAATATCACTTGGAGACTAACTCCTCCGTCTCCTCTGACCTGTGTACCTTGGCCACCAGATCGGCTTTCTCTGTGTATACTCCCTTCGGGATCCGCACCTAGGTCCGTATTTAAAGCAACGTGCAAACTGACATCGACTGGGTTGGCAATCGGTGCTCCCTCGAGATTAGCCTATGGCACCTCGGCTCCTGGAGCAATTACATTATCATTTTCCCCATGAAACTCGTGACCATCTTCACCATGTGTGGGTGCGTATTGTGAGTTTGACATGTTTTAACCTGAGAGCAAAGATACTTGACAAGAATAAGCGTAAAATAATGTGTGTTATCAGAATCAGCACCGAACAAATCACTATTATCCTTAGCCTCACGGTGGGCGCCAAACTGTTTACCCTCGAATTCGGGTAACAATTAAACTTATATTGTGCTTTTAAAAATATGTGATTTCGTCCAATACCAATTGATAGGCAAGAAAGTATATGAATAAATTAGAGAATAAAATAAATCAAACCAGTATGCGAACCAGGTCTTGACCTAGATTTGAGATAGTCTCGAGGTGGAACAATAAAAAGAGTGAAAGATAAAGCAACTCTGATGAACGATAAGTGAAATAGCTGGAAAGTAGTTAGTGTATATATTCTTATTAGTGAACAAAAAAATGATCCTTACAAATGAATGGGATCCCTTTTTATATAATAGAGGAGTCTTAAACAAGGTACACTTCTAATTATAGTAGGAAGCCACATTAATATCTGATTAACCACCGTGGATTGATCCATTCCGAGATTCACGCTACGATCCTCGATCAATTTCGGATATCTCGCCTTTTCCGTTACCAAGCTATACCAATGTCACTCGGAGTCTATCTCTTTCTGGCCACGATTGACGTCAACTTTGGTCCAAAAAGTGGCTTCGATTCAGGACTCGACGTCCTAGCTCCTCGACACGACATTCCCATCTCGAGCAAAGGATGAAATCGGGTAGCCCCGATTTCTACCGTATACAAGATGAACATGCGAAATCCCCTTTCCCCCAACTCTGACAAAATAAAAGCAAATTTGAGAAATGTATATACTTCTCGATAATGACAACAGATGCATCGACTAAATTACCTGATGGTACTGTTTCAGTTGGAAAAAATAATTAGTAACAGTATAATGTAGTGGTGTATAAAGGAAATCGATAAATAGCACCAAACTGATAATCCGAGTTGAACCGAGAAAAAAATTCGACTATGGTTTGATTTGATTTGGCTTGGTGTTAAAAAAATCAGACCATAATTGGTTTGGTTTGGTTTTAACTAAAAAAAGGTCAAACTGAAACCAAACCAACCCGACATTACATGTATACAAATTTTAAAAATATTTTAACATAAAAATAATTATTGTAATATAATTTATAAATATAATTTAAACTCTTTAATAGTTCTCTCTTTTAATGTATTATTTCAAGCTTGGAATTAAAACTTTTGAATGATCAAATATGTTTTATTGCCCATATAAGTTAGTAACTCAAATAAAGCCCAAAGCAAAATCAAATCAATATTAATGCTGACAAAAAAAAATTCTATTCAATACTAGAAATGACAATAGTATTTGGATATTTATTTTTTTAGTTTCACATTGATTTAGATAGTGAAAATGCATAACTCAGATTTAATATTATTTAGTCATGTAATTAATACTTAGTACTTATTAGTCATACTTATTTTAACATGACTTATAACATTTTTGGCCAAGCTTTCTTTTGGCCAAAAGTGTTTTTTTGGCCAAAAGCACTTTTGGCCAAAAATTGAGGTGTTTGGCCAAGCTTTTGGAAGGAAAAAAAGTGTTTTTGAGGAGAAGCAGAAGCAGAAAAAAGTAGCTTCTCTCCAAAAGTACTTTTTTGAGAAGCAATTTTGAGAAAAATACACTTAGAAACACTTTTTTAAAGCTTGGCCAAACACTAATTGCTGCTCAGAAGTGCTTTTCAAACTAATTAGCCAAACACAAACTGCTTTTCATCAAAAGAACTTTTGAAAAAACACTTTTGAAAAAAAAAAACACTTCTCAAAATAAGTTGATTTTTGCAGCTTGGCCAAACGGGCTATTAGTACTTTTAGATTGTGTTTATTTTTATTATGGATTATTAATTAGCAATATTTATTTTATGTGATTTGTTGAGCATTTTAGTATAATCATGACTCATCTAACATTATTTTATATAATTTTATTGGCAATATCTTATATAGTTTTATCCTACTAGGACCCAAGAAATATTAAAGCATAAATTATAAATTTTATGCTGTGATAATTTTGTCTGAAAAAAATCTAAAACCCCGAGAAAAACAGTGATTGAAAAAACCAACTTTTGTTGGTTTGGTTTAGTTTGTAAATTTAAAAATTCGAGACAATTGATCTGGTTTGGTAATTGAAAAATCCGAACTAACCCGGCCTATACACCCCTAGCAATGCATTAATAGCTCACGAGCTCCAATATTTTTATATAAAAAGCCAAAAAATTATTATAAAATATGTATCTATCAATTAAAATATAATCATTCCTTTTCAATGCATCTTCTAGTACAGTTAGACATTCAAAATTCATGATTCGCAAAATTTTGGAAATAAAATTTGCTGCAATTTCTAAAATGATATAAAATTTTAATCTTTTAGTTGACATATAATTTTAGTACTTTATGATGAAAGAACTTTCACAATTTATAAGTAACAAACTCTATGTAATTATTTAAAAAATTAATGAGAATATGCATTGCAATAATTCTTCGTCGTCTTAATATAAATGTTAATATATATTTACAGACCCACTTTAAATGTTTACTGATACAACTCATAAATATTAAAATATCGATTATTGCTCTATCGTGCCTAATAGACCTAGCAAGTGTACGTGTAACGATCCGATCAGTTGTTTTGAGCCATAGCATTCCGTTCAGCGATTTAAGGTCTTGAGTTACTTCATATTGTGTATTATGACTTGCGTGTATAGTTGAATTGGATTTTCAGTTGTTTCGGGATTGAATTGGATGAGTGGTTCTCTTTCTAGAAGCTTAAATTGGAAATATTGACTAATGTTTGACTTTTATGAAAACGACCCTGCAACGGTATTTTGATGGTTCTGATAGGTTCGTATTGTAATTTTGGACTAGGGCGTATGCCCACAATTTAATCTGAGGGTCCCTAAGTTGATTTGGCCTATTTTGCCGAAGATCGGTAATTTGAAGGTTTAGAAATTCCTTAGGTTTGACCATGGTTTGACTTTATGGCTATTGAGTTCGGAATTTGATTTTGAAATTTGGAATAGGTCCTTTTTTTATTTGGAACTTATCCGTAAAGTTTGGCGTCATTCGGAATCAAACTCACGGTTGTGTTTTAGAAGTTCTTGAGTTTCATATAAATTTCATGTATTTTGGAGGTCTGATTCATGGTTTCGGATGTTATTTTGATGGTGTGATTGTGCGAGCGAGTTCGTGTTATATTTTTAGACTTGTGTTTATGGTTGGTATGAAGCTCTGAGGACTTGGGTGAGTTTCGGACGCGTTTCGGAGTGATTAAAAGAGTTTTAGTATTGTTGGTTTTTGCACAGACGCTTCAGGTCTCGCAAATGCAAGATTTTATTGTGTTGTTTTCAATGTGCTATTCCATGACTTTGATCTTACTTGTTGACTTGATCTATGATAGTACACTTGCACAATCATATATCGTAATATCAGTTCAAGATAATTCTTGTCGTCCATTGATCATGTACGTATATTCTTGTATATCGGTTTTTTGTTTGAGGACTGGACTGTTGGCACGTGAGTAGTCCGTGCGAATATGAGATATTGTTACTATTAGCACGTGAATTGTCCGTGCGGATATGAAGCTACTGTTATTGTTATTAGCATGTGGGTTGTTCGTGTTACACGTACATTGTCCGTGCAGTTGTGATTTATAAAGTGAGCACGAGATGTCGCGTGATTATGATTCGTGAGTTGGGATTTGTGAAATGATGGTATTTTGGTATGATTCTTGTTGTACATTTTATGTTAAAAACGGTTGTGGTTCTTGTCTTTCTTATTTCCTTCCATTCGTATTTTGGTTGTACTTGATTGCCTGTTGTCTTTACCGCATGTACTCTCTTGGTGACAATTGTTGCTTTGCTACCGTTGTTAGCCTTGTACTAATAGATTGATTAATTGTCCTTTAACTGCCTTTATCTTTTCATTGTTAGATTTTCTCAATATCCTGCACATGTTTCTTTGTCTGGTCGGTATTTTGATCTGACCTTATCACTATTCTACCGAGGTTAGGCTTGATACTGTTAAGCTTGCTGCACATTTTTGTACAAATTCAGGTACCTCGGAGTGTGCGGGTCATCAGTTAGTTGATTGTGAGCTGCTGTGGAGACTTCAAGGTATACCTGCCATCCTATTCGCAAGCTCCGGAGTCGCCTTCTGTTGTCTTTATTTACCGCTGTTTATTTCTATTCCGGAACAGTTGTACTTACAGACTTTTCTAGTGAACTCAGTAGAGCTTATGACTTGTACAACCGGTTTTGTGATATTATACATCTATTGTGGTTGTTGGCTATATAGAATTTTCTGGTTCTTGTTTAATAGTTGATTGATTTAAATCTGTTAATATCCTAGTTTGTGGTAGGCTTACCTAATCTTTGAGATTAGATGCAATCACTACGTCCTGACGATGGAATTTGGGTTCGTGATAGTAAGCCTAGTACTTAGTATATCACCAGTAATTTGTGCTCATTTCGATTTGATACTTTCAAAAGATCAACACTCTAATTATCTCTACATAAAGGTTCTTTCAACCGTTTAAAAACTTTTCTTTTTTGTTTCCAAAGGATCAGAATCTTAACTTATTACAACAATTGCTTTTCGACCAGGATATGAATAGACATTTAGGAATCTTAAAATGTTTAACAACCAATCGAAAACCAACTTTGACTTGTATTTAACAACCAATACTCCTCGTTTTGTTGTCTATCAGCCAAACTCTAACTTGGCTACAATTTCCTGCATTTTGTTATGTTACCCCTAAACTAATCTGCATTCTTTATTTCTTTTTTTTTTGTCCATCAAGTTTTCTTTATTTATTTTATTTGCTTAGTTCTAAGGTCTTTGATTCAAGTCAAAGTCAACCCTATGTAGATTTCTGATGTAAATTAAAGGAAGCAATCTTGAAAGTGCGAAGAAACTAGTGGTCAGCTCAACTATTTTTGTTTTCTTTAGACAACCAAGTCTCTTTAAAATGTTAGCTAACTTTTCCCTTTACTGTGAAACTTCTTTTTCCTTTTCTGTGCTACAGAAAAATAAATATCTCATTGTTTAAAGTAAAGTTGACCATATTTGACTTTTAACAACCAACAGTATGTCGTTTTGTTACTTATCTACTCACTTTCTAGTTTGCCCCCTGGGCCTTTAGTCTCAAGGTAACCTTAAATAACATTTCCAACAACTTGAATATATAAAATGTAAATACAAATTTCGATCCGGGGTTGTTTGGGACTTTGGATCACATGTTGTTCTAAAATGCATGTTTGTTTATGTGAAGAATCTATACTATACTAAAAGCACGAAGGCCCTTAGCGAAATATCGTTCGCGTTTTTTACCCTTGATAAATAGAATTTACATGGGATAAAATAGTCATTTTATTATTTTTCTGATATTTAAGATTTCAAAATCAACTAAAATTTATATATATATTTTTCCTTATTTGAATTATGTAACATACCATATTTGTAAAGGAAAATTATAATACATGCATAAGAAAATCTGGTTTTATATGTTTAAGAATCTTTTTTGTTTGTTCTTAGGTCTTAAAACCTCTTTGCTCTTCCGTACGAAGAAAAATTATGCTGCTAACTTGTGGAAAGAAAAGATCTTTCGACTATTTGCAAGCTAACGATGAGGTTTAAGCTTTTCATTTTTTACGTTAATTTCTTCTTCAAGGAATTGTTATTTCATATTTGTTGATTAATTACTTCGGTATTGCGGTGTGAATCTGAATCTTTTTGCTTAAAGTAAGCATATATTATGTAGTATTTACTTGAATAGTTCTTTCTATTTTTGTTATAAATATTCATCTATGATCCGTTTAAACTATTGTATAATGTGCGATTCTATATAACAGGATGATAAAAGAATCATCTTCTTGTGCATTGGGGAAAAAAAGATTCATAAATTTTAGGTCTGAATAGAATTGGCTTGAAGATATGTTCTATGATCCTAATTTTCTTTTTCTTATTTTAGTAGTATAATAATTTCTTAACCAAAAATAAAGTTCTAAATAAACACAAGTTTTGTGATGCCAATTTATGCCGAAACAGGTACTCAGATGCTTCAGTTTCACTCATCACAACGTCTAGGTTGTCGTCTCCTGCCTACTGTTCTCATCTATTCGGCACCTTGATTCCAATGACATAATTCTATTCACTGCA